ACCCCCGGGGGGCTGGCTGGAGGGGCAGGGATGACGTCACCAGGAGGACCCCATGGGCTGTCCCAGCGTCACGCGCTGCAGGAGGCCTTGCCTGATCCTGTGGCCCTGGGCCCAGCACCGAGGCAGGACCCGCGCTCCGCCCCACAGAGCCCAGAGTCCCACGGCCCTTGTGCAGCCCCAGGCCCACCCCACCCGCGCCGGGGGAGGCCCCCAGACCTTGGGAGTGGTTGCCCGGCAGCCGGTCCACCTGGAGAATGAAGTCGTCCTTGAGGAAGAGGAAGCCCACGATGGAGAAGAGGTAGACGAGGATGAGGGCCAGCAGGGCGGTCAGCAGGATGGAGCGGCAGAGCCCAGAGTCCCACGGCCCTTGTGCAGCCCCAGGCCCACCCCACCCGCGCCGGGGGAGGCCCCCAGACCTTGGGAGTGGTTGCCCGGCAGCCGGTCCACCTGGAGAATGAAGTCGTCCTTGAGGAAGAGGAAGCCCACGATGGAGAAGAGGTAGACGAGGATGAGGGCCAGCAGGGCGGTCAGCAGGATGGAGCGGCCATTGCGGGTCACGCTCTTGATCACGTTGAAAAGCGTCTCCTCGCGGTAGATGAGGTCAAAGAGCTGCAGTTGGGGATGAGCACTGAAGGGCTGGGCCGGCCCCTCCCCGGGGCACTGCCTGACCCAGGGTTGGTCCAGTTGGACGCGGAGTCATGGAGAGATGGGGCGGGCAGGGCCAGAGGGGCATCAGGGCCTTGAGGGCCAAGCTGGGGGCAGGCACAGGCCGACTGAAAACCCACACCTCCCGGAGCAGCAGGGCTGACAGACTGGTGCCGGGACCCCACTGCCCTACACCCCTGCCCAACCCGGCCACACACTGGGCTCACCAGGATGCTGTAGAAGAGCTCGTGGGCAAAGAGGCCCAGGACACTCGTCAGGATGTAACCCACGTGGTACAGAAACTCCACGTCCATGACCATGGCCTTGTAGCCCCGGATGAAGGTGCCGCGGTTGCCCACGAAGCTCACCACGAACACGATCTTGTTGGTCAGCTGAGGGCGAGTGCAGGGCACCGGGGTCAGGGCCCCCGGGCACCTTCACCCCCACCCCACGCCTGTCTGACGCCAGCCCAGAGCAGGACTGGTTCAAGAAGTGAGTTCAGGTACAGGAGGGGACAGCACAGGTCACAGCTGTCACAGTGGCTGGCTCTGCTCGAGGGACTTACTCCCATCCGTCGGGAACTCGGCCTCACCCAGCAGTGTCTCTGGACAGTGACAGG